TTGACCCTTCTTTCCATGAAGAAATTTTTCTTAATATCGAATCTAAACCTTCCCTGACACACCCTGAGGCCATTTCCTCTCATCCTATCACTTGTTCCTTGGGAGAAGAGACCAACACCCACCTCACTACATCCTCCTTTCAGACAGTTGTAGAGATCTTTTTAATCCTGGCCACAAAGAGGACTAGATAATTACCACCCTCTCAACAGACTTTTGCTTTTTAAAAAAAAAAAAAACCAAAACCCAAACAATAATTTAGACACTTCTTTTCACTCTTGTAGGGTTAAGCAGTAGGCAGGTCTATTCTAGGCGCTGCAAGGCTGAAGATTGCTTCCATAACTAGTCACCAATCAGATGGAAGCTGCAGAGACCCATGACAGAAGCATGAAGATCGGTATGGGAACATCTAGAAGGGCAGCAAAGCACATCAGGTGTTGAGGGTACCTAGATTAGCAGGTCATCAAAACCCCAGCACATCTACGTGCATTTCCAGGGATGCCCACATTGGGGAAAGAAGGACATTGAATAAAGCCTAAGGAGGCACAGGGGTTGGACTTCAGTCCCTGTCAGCTTCTGGAGGGTAGAGAAAGGCACATCCACAGCAAGGGCCAGCCTGAGATGGACAGAGGGAAAGTGGTCAGGAGTCAACAACCAGCATCTCTGGTCTTTTCACTGAAGGCAACAAGTGTAGATGTGGCCATTGAAGTCCATGCCTCTCCGAGCTTTGATGCTGGGCAGAGCTCTTGGATGTGTCCCGCTGCTTGTGCAGGTGGGAATGTGAGAGAGATAAATAAGTTTTAAAATAAAATCAGCTTCCCCTGTGATGCAGTCCCTGGTTTAGCCTTGCTATCTTGGTGCTGTGCCATTGCAGGAGCCTTTCCTGCAGCACAAACCTCATTTTGCTAAGCCTCCGAGGGGCACATGTGAATCAGAGAGGCACAAAGTCTACCATGACAGGCAGAGGGCATTTGTACAGGCTCAGCCCTTATAAACCACGTTGAGAGTGGACACTGCTGTAAAGCATCCCTAAGGGACAAGCCCTAGTTCTAAGCAAAAACTGCTTTCCTCAGTGATAGCAAAGCGTATACATTTTCTTAGTTTTGACCCAACAGAAAATATAGTCACCTCCATTTCCCACTCTCCTGCAGGGATGGTAAATGCTGGAGGTGAAGTGGTGCTCATGTCAACAGAAGCAGAGGTAACGTACCTTGTATTTTGAAGATGACATCAGCTAGGACAGGCGTATTAAAGAACAGCCTGAGAGAAGTATTATACAGCCGTTTTATCTGGTGAGATCTGCAGTCCTTTATAGTGTTTAGCTGCAAAATAAATTATTAATAAAATACTGTCAGAATAAAATAATACAAGACATCATTTATATGGGGAAACTAAACAACAGTCTTTTGATCTCTACTTTATGTTCTTTTGCTAATGCTACTCAGCTATGCCTCTCACATGTGCAATCCTCTGCAATCCTCTTTTATCGTTTATTTTCCTATTTTCTGCAGTGCAGCAGCTCCAAGGTGTCTCTGTCTCCTACACTTACACCCCACCTCCCGCCTTGGCACTCTCCGGCCTGTGACAAAACTCCCCCATCCAGCACCTCTGTGACTGCATCACAAAATTTCTGGACTCCAGGCTTTTTCACACATGCCCTGTTCAGACCCAAGGCTGCAGAAACACAAGGTTTGAGGGTTCTTGGGGGAGCACCGATGGGACACACAGCCACCCCCTGGCATGATGACATGTACAGATGCAAAGCAGTCAAAAGTTTAGCATTTTTTGATATTGCCCTGATACTGCCTCCACAGAGGCAGAGGGAGCTCACGGGCTGAAGCACAGACTTCTCTTACAATAATCTGGGCATGCTAGCATCAAGACCCTCCAAAACCCAGTACTTCCAGTTAGTTTTTCAGTTCTGTTTTTCTTTATTTAAAAATGGAATCTAAAGCTACCAAAAGACACAATGTCAAAATCATATTGCTAGATTGTGGTAAGTGAAATTCAGATGAGGTTGAATTTATGATTAAAATTTTATCTAATTTACATAATTAATTTTTATCAAGAAAATCACAATTCATTTCTAGTTATGTCTTTGAAGCAAAACTTTTAAATGGGAAATGAAAGTCTCCCAAAGGCATAACAAAACCCCAGAAGAAACAACAACAACTCAGGCTTATTATCTTAAAAGTTTTCAGGACTTTCTAAGTCCAATCCTATGAATGTTTTAGCTGTGGACACTTAGGACTGGCAAACCTGCAGCTGAGCGATCAGAAGCTTAAAACAGCTAAGAAACTGTTTGATCTTTATATTATGTTATCTCAAGACAGTCTGAGATGATTTCCCATTTAAATTGACAGAAATACTTTGTGGAAGTATCAGGGAATGTACGACTTCTATCAGCAAAAAGCTGTTAAAACTAATTCTGTATTCTAACTTTTTATTAACATAATAGTGTGACATAAATTACATTTTACTATGAAGTAATCTGTTGTATTAAATATATTGAGCTATAGACAGACTTCTGCATCACAACACTTAAAAGAGAAACCAACTCTCCAGGTCTACTGCAGAAACATAACTTTTGGCACATATTCAGGAAAGCAAAGCTTTCCTGGGCAGCCTCTATTACATGAGAATTAGGAACACATAATCATATTGTTAGACAATGTGCAAAGCTGTGAATATGAGTAATCCGTTTAGAATACTTGTGTGCTTTTACCGATTACAGTAATTCTGCACATTGCATTAGCATCTTTGTGTTTCTATCTTGTACATGCCTGTGAGCAACCCACTGATAAAGTAATAAAAGCTGTGTAAGCCAAAGTGAGTTTGAAACAAAGACTGACAAGGAAACCTTGCCTACAAAACAATTTCCCTAGAACTTAAGTAACTAATACTAACAGTTACCCCAAGAGAGTTAGATATACCTTCCCTGGAGTTTTCAGGATACATTTAACTTTCTCAAGCACATGGTCAGTTTTTTCTGGATCCTTCAACTTCTTTTTTATATCTTCTTCTAATCGTTCCCACTGAAAAGCACCTGTCACAAGACCAGGTAAAGTTGGATTATAAATCAACAAGGCATGGGGCTTAGCAAGCAGAGAAAAGGTGATATCAATACCAAACAGATCCTGCAGAAACTGTATTTTCTGCACATAAATCAGCCAGACCTTTGTGCTTAGGAAGGGCATGATGCAACTCTTGCACAATAAAAATTCCATGGTACTTCTACAAGAATGCAATTAAGTACAGACCAATCAGGGCTTCTGCCTTGCTTTCAAAGTCAATTTCTGGATTCCTCCCAGTTCAATCAGTACATATTACAGGTAGAAAAAAATCCTGAATGTTTTAATATTTATGGAAGTTCTTTAGCTTCTGCTCATATTGCTGGTTGCATTGCTTTGCAGGTGTGTGAAGCAGAAAAGCTTCATAGAATCATAGAATCATTCATGCACAGTTATATTCTGAATACTGGTAGCTAAAAACAGCACAAAGTTTGCAGTGGAATTTCTTTTTTTCTTGTTTTCAGATTCAAAACCATGATAGTCTCTTAGGTCTCTCAATAGCTTTCTTGGAAAAACTAGAATTGTTGACCAGTGTTAAAACAAACGTAGTTTATTCTTATGCATTTTGCTGGAGTAAGTCTCAAAGACACCATGGGGCTTTTTGGTAAATTTCAGCTCTGATCCCCAGGGCAATGCAGCAAGGAAAAGCCAGAGACAGAAAAAGCTCAGGGTAAAGCACAAGTCAGCAGAGCCCTGAAGGCACTCTGCTGCAGAAAAGGCTGAAACAGCACATAACAGCATCTTTAGCTCTATCAGCTCCTAGGTATACCATATGGATGTGTTTATGACCTCATGGGCACAATGTCATGGTCCTGAAAGGCTGAAAACAATGATACTGCCTCATGATCTGATCTATTCTCAGCTGTGCCTTAAACATCTTTGAAAGACCTCGTCATCTCTCAAAGGTGCTGAACAGTGCAATGACTTTTAGCAATGCCCTTCAGGTTGGGAGCTGTGACTTACAGCAGAGTTTCACCTACAATTGTCCAAAGTTTCCCAATTCTTTGGTTGACAGAAGCAAAAGTAAAATCAATACACAGAAGGCAGCAGATGCACTTATCTTTCACCTTCTGAAATTCCAGGTTTAATACTCTATTCATGTCACCAATAAATAAAAAAACCCAATCCATTCACACTGAAAAAATTCTGCATCTGTTCTTCATGTCTGACACTGGTTTGGAAAGAACTGAAAGGGATATTTTCAATGTACAAAGTCTAACTGAAAGCTGAAAGAGTCTCCCTTGTGTCTTCACAAGCCAGTGTTCACGTCTCAGCTACTAAGGCAGAAATCCTTTTCATATGTCAGGCAGGTATCAGTCTACAGAGATTGACTAAGCTTCTTTATAGATGCAGCTCTAACAATGTAATTATTTGGTGCTTTTTTTTTAATTACAGTTAAAATCAGAATGCATCATTAAAAAGCTTGCTAATTCTTTTGATAAATATCAAATAGATATGTACTGAGATCTTGCAAAATATTTTACAAAGAATAAATGGGTATCAGGTACTTCCAGAAAAAAAAAAAATTCTCTTTCACCTGAGGATTCCTAAGCAACACTTAAAAAGATAGAAAAATACCAGTGCCACTTCAGTAGACAGCTGGGATTAGGTAAGGGAGGTCACTGCCTGTCCTGAATTGGTAGCAAAACACATGCAACAGATCAGAGCCCCCAGCACTCCGGCCAGTTCACAGTGCTTTCTCTTCAGCAGCACCATACCCAGGAGAGAAATCACTTCAGTGTTCCTAAGGAACCCTGTGTGGTGGTGGATCCCCCCCTCCCCTTTTCTCTCTTCAACCACTTTATGACCTCAGGGATTCCCGCCAGACCGCGACCTTGTGTAGTGAGCTGGTCAGTTAGCTGCACCTTAATTGTACCAGAAACTCCTACGTGGTTGACGTGGAGAGCGGCCCTGTCCTTATCAGAAACTCTTACATGGTTGAAGTGGGGAGCGAGAACAATCAAGTTACCCCTCACAGCTTTGAAACAGAGAAGTAATTACCCACCCGGATTGTGGCTCAGATGGAGATTTATAATGACGAAAGCCAATCATCT